TATTTGTTTTTGACAAGAAACTCTACAGAAATAATAACCAACATACAATTCTGAAAAAAAAATTTACTTTGTTAAGCCGTAAGCTTTATAAAAGCAACAACCAATTGTGAAACACTGATATTTGCTAAATATGGTCAGTTATGGCATCGACCAATGATATTTTTAGGTAAGTGTGAAGTTTTACGAAGCAACAAAAAAGCTACTGAGCAAAAGCCCGGAACTGCCACACTCTTTTGTCATTTTTACAGATGGATTCTGCAATTCTACCACAACTGGTCTAAAATAAAGCAGTATTGCCAGAAAATATGAAGAATCATTTGAGAAATTGCAGTCAAACCCTTATTCAAAATTTAACCTTCAGCTTCAAAAGAATAAATTTTCTGCTAAGCTTTTCTAATCTATTTCACAGAAGAAAAAAAAAAGAAATGTTAGCTGTGAAAAAATTAACGATATTTTTAAAAAACAGTTTTGCTATATCTTTTTTCATACACCACCAACAAAATTTTTTCCTTGTTAATGATGAAATGATGACATATCGAAATGTAAGCACTGAAAAATAAAAGTTGTAGTAGGCCACAATGGAAAAACTTCTGACTTTCTTTTTTCAACTTTTTTCTTTTTGTCTGCACAGAGTTCCTCAGTGATTACAGAATTCGTTTAACGTTTAGTGCTACCAGAATAAGGTCAATCTTGAAATGCATATGCATTTTTTTTCTGTTAATTTATCCCTCTGTTATGCTGCCGTTCTTACAGTGATACCGTTGAGCTATATTATTAGCGCACAAAACATGACAAAAAAAAAAGTTATTTGACCAAATGACCAAGACAGTGATATTTCTTTGTCAAGTCACAAAAATTATTACAAAAAATAAATTATTTGAAACAAAAAAAATTAATTATTTTACAGCAAAAAAGCAGTAAATTTGAGTAGTTTGTGACAGTATGAGTCAAATGAAAAAAGTGTTCAAAGTTTGAAGACTAGTTTTAGAAGCACAACATAATTTTTTAAAGTCCTCTTTCTTATTCTTTCTTCTGTTTTTTTTCTACCAAAGGAACGTAATTCTTAATCGATTACATTTGTCTTTCCGGAAAAAACAGAATTGTTTAACATAACCATTTTGCCACAAACTTTCTCCATATACGTAAAATAGTTATTGTATAAAATAACAGTGCAGTTTCAAAACCGATAGACTACAGTTGATTTGCGTGGCGCCTTCATTAAAGATTCGAAACAACAGTATACCTTCCAACAATATTTTTTTCGTCAATAATAAGAACATGATAGTATTCAAGAAAAAATTTTATTTTTTGCTTTCTTTTCTGTCGAATATAGTGATTAAAAGTTAATTTTTTTAATGCTTATTTTCTGATCCCCCAATTTTTTAGACAACTCTTTGAGGTGCAGAATTTAAATCAAACATAGCTATCTTTTAACATCTACTTTTCGTCTTAGACCCGAGCTTTGCAAACTTACCAAGTGATACAGAATCTAAAGAATAAAAGTTCTAAAATTTAGCTTCAGAAGTCATCTTTAAGTAACTGCGCCAAAAGAAGGCATTAAAGCAGTCAGTAAAAGCATTAGTAAAGGTACCTGCCAAAAACACTAAGCAGAAACCCACGTATGAGAAGAAGACTTAGAAGTCTTTGAAAGTTTTTAATTATTATTGTACGTTTAAATAAATGAATGAAAGACAGGAATTTGGCGAGAATGAGTTTGGAAAGTCAAAATTTGATTACAAAGTAGCGTTGAATTTTCACAGATTTCTTCTAATTTACCCTTATCGTTTCGACACTCCAAACTTTTTCTGCTCGTTTAACTGACATTTGACAAAAAGAATTATTTTCAAGACAGCAGGTAAAATAGATTAATAAGTAGTTCTATTACTGTTTAATAATTGACTACTACTTACTCAACACTGATTTCTTGACTTAAAATATCACAGTGAATTAGTTTGTTACAGTTTACTACCACTTACTCAGGAAATTCTGTTAATGCTATTGTATAAAAATATCTAGAAAATTATGTTAGAAACTAAAGAGTCTTTTGTGTCAAAAAAGTGGTAACAGGAATTCACGCTTTTACGCGATGTTAAATGTTTGCTAAACTTTTGGTATTTGACTGCCATATTCGTCTCAATCTTAGAACCATTTATTTATAAAAGATTATTTCAGAAAGCAAAAAAAGTAGGAAAAGGAAAAAAGCAAAATGAAGATCGAGCTTAACACTGATAGAACTAAAGCTTTATTTGTCACTATGCATCACAGTATTTAAATATATACTTATTGTTTCAGTATATTCAGTGATAAAAATTAAAATAAATTATGTGTTTTTTTTTCTTGGCACTTATCGACAGCTTTTCTCACTCGTTACTGCGCTCTCTTAGGGCTCTACTGAAAAAGTTTACCCAAAAACTTTACAGACACGAATTATTTTTCTGTTGCCAAGATATTCACTTATTTAATTATAACGTTTAGAAAATTCTGTCCTCTGTTTGCTTTTTTATTTTTTTAACATAAGGTTATAGATTTTTGTATTAAATATTTCATAATGCTAAAAACTTTCTAACCTTTTTTCAAGTTAAATATTCTGGTAATTGTAAAGTGAGTGTGAGAAGTAGATGAAAATGGAGAAATTGTTGTGTAAATTTCTCGGATCTTTTTAGGGATTACCAATAATTCAATAAATAATCTCATTTTTTCTATTTTTTCTTCTCAATAACAGTTTTTTGTAATAAATTGTTAAAGACAAATGGTCTGTTTCAGATTTGCTAAGCGTTTATCAAACTTACAAGGCTGAAAAAATAGGTGTTAAAAAAATAATTATTTGGCATCTAAACGTCTCTATTTTTGTCACCAAAAAACGAGTATAAATATGAATTTTTGTTTCTAACTGCTTAAATGTCAAAATATTTCAAAAATTAATAGCAACAGCAAAGAAAAAAAAAAAAGAAGAAAACCGATTATTAAAATGACGTACTTTTTAGGTGGTAGTTCACTTTGGTGAACACTTTTAAACCAAACTGCATAAACTTGAAAAATTTTTTATGAGTTAAAAAAAAACTACAGCCAATATTTCTTTTCAATATTTCTTTTTAATAATTCTTAAGAATTATCAGAATTTTTTAGATAAATAAAAAAAATCAAAATAACTCTTGCCGCATCTCTTAGCATATCATTTTGCTTAAACTTTGTTTCAATTTTTACCTGAACAAGGAGAAGAAAGCAAACTTTAAGTAGAAAATGTGTCATTATTGTTTTGCCTATGCTTAATACGTGTTTTTTAATTCTCAGAAAAACAGACAAATCTTTTGTTGCTTAAAATAACAAAAGTTTACATCAATTATAATTAACGATGTATATGTATATTATATATATATATATATATATATATA